AAGGGATTGCAGAAGAATTAGCAGATTGCAGAAGAGAGCTGAGTGTGCGTTATAAAAAATGAGTTGAGTATTTGATATGTGTAGAAATGATTATAGGATGCATGTTTCTTCGATCAATGTGATTAATGAAATCAATTTAGCCATGCATGTGCAAAGTTTATTCGTATATCTTACGCAGTGACAGCGCACTCCTTATATTTTTTTAAACGTTTTTTGGAACGTATCGGTGGATGCTTACGTTTCCATAACTTGTTACGCTTATAAAGCAAACATGAAAATATTCAATAACAAAAGATTCTGATTTAATGCAAAAAACCACAAGATCATAAGTGTGCAAGATTCTAATCTAATGTAAAATATATTAAAATGTTATTCAAGCCGAAATTTATTTTAATATAATTTTTGTTTTTTTAATTTTTATACAAAAAATAAATACATATTCAAATTCTTGTTTCATTCCCTCTTTACACTACACATCATAGGTGATGGGGTATATTAACACTCAGAAGTGGCTTTGATAGATTCTTTCTAGCCTTTTATTATACCGATTTATTCAGATTCACTTTCCAATTCGATCTAAGCTTGTTCGTCCACCTATGTCTCCGTCCTTCCGTCCGTCCGGTAGATTGTTTTGAAATATATTGATGGAATTGGCCGAAGCACGAACGCTATTGAAAATGATTCGAATCGGGTTACCATTTCGGACAATTGCGCGTTACTTTAAAATATCATTATATGACTAATTATGTTAACCGAAGTGGTGAAATGTAAATAATATCTTACTGTTTTCACTTGTTTTATGATTTAAACTAATAGAAGCGAAAATAATTCGAAATTTTTTTAAAAATATTTTATCTCTATTGAAATTCATTTACTTACTTACCTTCATTGCACTATAATGTATTGAAAATTTGAAGAAGGGGTTTATAAAGAGACATTTATTTTCATTATTACACGGGGATGATTCTTTAGAATTTTTTCATTTCTTTTCGTTTCATTTTAATTTATTTATTTATTTATTTACTTATTTATTTTTTGTTTTTAAATCATTTTTATACATTTTATTACGTTTACAATTTTCTATAATTTTTTTTTCTCGGTAGGGTCAACTTTCTATTGAATTCCTGATTAATTCATAATAAATTACGAACGAACGACAATGAGATGTGAGTGAGTTTCTCGTTTTCTTTTTCTTTTTTTTTTTTTGGTTGCTTTTTTTATTAGATCGAGCTTATTTAGAATAATTCATACGTATGTATATACGTGAGTATGTAATGTTTTTTTTTTTTATATTTTTACATTATCATTTATTTATGTACACTTTTTTTTATATATATATTTTTTGCATACGCACCACTAATCGAAGAAGTTATGCTAATTTTTTGATATCACCTCATAAGAGTATATACCTCAAGCGTTTCATTTTAATTAATTAGAAGATGACAAAAAATGACAAGCGACTTCTTCACTGTACCAAAAATCCCAGACCTCTGCAAACTAATTTCAAAATTCGGTAAACCCTGGCTGGCATAAAATAACATAAATGACGTTATATTATCCCTGGGAATTTTTTGATGAACCCAGTAACCGACATTCGTGTAAAAGAGAGTCTTAAGATCCTTCCGAAAGCAGTAAAACTCTCTCTCTCTCTCTCTCTTGCTGCTCTCACTATACGAGCTTAATAGTGATAGAGCAGACGATTTTGTAACTTGGCCTTGTTTACGTACTGGCAACGTTCAATTAGGTTTAGGTACTGGCATCTTTCTCTTCAGTATTAACTTTTTTTGGGTCAAACTCTTTGAGTTTTGGACCAAATGTGTAACACAATGATGGGCAAAACAGGGCTGCTTCAAGAGATCGGCTAAAAAATGTCATTGATAAATTTAAAAAATAACACAGAGTAAATATTCTCTGGAGGGATTGTTCAGTATATTCGGTAAAAAATTTACAATCCTATCGATGTTTTTATCGTATTATACATAACCATTTCGCGCTTCTTTGAAAGACTAAACACTAAAGGCTGCGTTTCTTCCTTCCTCATTTTCTCTCGTTCTTCTATTTGACCAGCCACCTAGGAAGGATAGGGTTCAGGTGCGACGATGAGAGAAAGAGAGGAAGAGAAGATAGTCTTTTTATATAGTCTTTGAAAACATTTAGAATGGTAACGAAGGTCCACGCAAGTAAATTATTTCAGAAAAGGATTATGCTCCTAAAAAACATCTGTAGAATGCGAGAGATTTCACAATTTAGGAATTGTCTCTGTCTCTAAAAAAATGTACTCAGCTTTAACTGGAAGAAACTGTGTAAAAAACAACCGCTCAGTTGTTATCGATAACTTTTTGTTCTTTTTCGGCTCATAAAATCAAATTCAAAAATTTTATCTTCACAGATAGTTTGCCGGTCCTAACAGCTATGCGCAACTCCTTATATTCTAGCTAAGTACACAATACTGTTATTATGTAGGCAAAATTACATTTTTTGGTTATCGACATGGATTGATCTCTTGAGAAATAAATGAGCAGGGAAACCTGCTACTTTGACATCATCAAATAAAGACATCATAGGAAAAGCTAGACTTTCGTCTTTCGTTCGACGGGACCAAAATTCACACTAGCCTCATATTACTCGTTCCATCACTAATCTAACCAACGTGTTAAAAACATTTGCGAGGAATTCGCTGGTGGTCGCCTCAGGAAATCAGCTTGTCCGATTTGAACAGGCGTACAAAATCCTACGTTTGAAAATGTGATTTGTCAATGTCAAGATCTTTGCAATATTTGAAGGCACGTTTTCAAATGTTCATCATATGTTCAACTTGAAAGTGCCTGGACATTAATATATTTAACTTTTTTTAAACGGCTAGATTAATCATATAGTCTATCTTTTCTAAAAAACTTTACCTTACTAATCCCTCGATTCTGTTTCAATCCTATGATTATAATTTATAATAATAATAATAATAAATGGAGAAGTTTATCTCTAACTTATGTCCGCTTCTGCTTTCTGTCTTCCCTTCTAATATATACGATTTGCAGCAATGATTTTGATTCGGAAATATATATGAAATTTTATTTAAAACACAAAACTGGGGCATACTTCACTTATGGTGCAAAGGTATGTTCAGTTAAGTAAGAAGACTCATGTTTTATTATACCGATAGATTCACAATCACATTCTGAATCGATTTAAGCTTGTCTGTCCGTCGATTCGTCTGCTCGTTTTTTTTTTCTTATGCTCAACCTACAAGTCGCAATTTTCGGAGATATTTTGCCGATATTTGGCATAACGATGTGTTTTTGTCTGAAAACGAACGCTATTGAAAATGATTCCATTCGAAATACTTTTTCGACCACTTCCCCTATAACATCTTATTTGGAAATTCACTATATGAATAGCTGTATTAAGCGGGGCTCACGTAGAGTATTTAATGGTGAGTCCACATTCACTACATTGATTTTAGTAGTTTTTTTTATTGTTCTTAAACAAACGAGATCAGCGATTTTACACTCACAGTGTCTCTCGGTTATCAAAACCAATGCTGTCAACATACTAAGAAAATGACTACCTCTCATATAAATAGATATCTTTTGTGCGCATTCCTTCTAAACAGTTAAGAGTGTCAATCTTTTTGGAAAATTTGTGTTTGAACTGGATCGCAAAAATTTAGCCATGACGAGTATATTCGTCATACACAGAGTAAGTGTAATATGAAGTTAGATTGTCATGAAATAACTTGACAAACGGATGGACTGATCACGACATACATTTTCGTTACAACTGAAAATTTCGCACTTTTTTGATGACATATATATTCGTCAAACAAAGTTAAACGGTTAAAGTGATAAATTCTGATTGTATATAGTAATATACAAATTTAACTGATTAAAATGATAAATTCTGATTATTATATGTACACGGAATATAAAGCGAGTGAAAGGGATTTTGCTTTATATCCAAATGTATGCATTCGCATGTATACATGCGTACGTACATATACACACATATATATAAACGTATTTATATATATATTTAATCGTATATATATGTTTATGTATATGCCTGTGTGTACACAATTGAGTAAATGGATATTCGTAGAAAGGCTAGTGGTGAGTATTTAACAATTCGGCGATAGCCGAGGCAATTCTTTTGCTTTTTTGTTATTAAACTAATTTTTATCATATACATACATACATATACAGATTCCTTAGTTAATTACATTTGTGTTTTATCGAACGTGATTTAGAGGATCAGCTCGAATTTGTAAATTTTTTGTAGTTTTTTTTTTTTTTTCTTATTTTCTTAAGTACAAATTTCGTATTGTTTGAAATAAAAACCGTTGAAGTGGAGGATTTAGGAGTTTTGTATATTTATAAAGATTTCTCTTGTTTTTTTTTTTTTTTTTTTTTTTTTTTTGTATAATTTTAAAAAAAAAACGTGCTTTTTTTTTTTAATTTTTTTTGTTTTTATAAAATTTTTTTTTTGTTTTATAAATTTTAACATTTCACAAAAAAAAAAAAAAAAAAAAAGAACAAAAATTGTCTTAAAGATTTTCTAAATTACATATTGATCTGTTTGGTTTTCTTTTTCTTTCCTTTTTTGAATAATTGTTGTTGTCTTATATTGGTTCCAATTGGTTATCTTAATGTTAACATATTATCATCGTCTCTATTATCATCGGTTTTAAATACATTTCGCTTAATTATTTATACATACATATCTATATATAAATCGCATTTTGTATGTAACGGTCTTAAGTTGCTTTTGTTTATACATAAAAGGTGTTCTTCATTATAATATATCTATAGTTGTTTTGTAATTCTTTGTTATTTTTTTTTATTTATTCATTTATTTTTGAATTTTTTTTTTCTCTACAAATTTCTGTAACTATTTTGTATTTTGTGAATGCATTTTATAATACATTTACACATGCATATACACAATTATGTGAATTGCATTTATTTGTTGTGAAAAATGTGTGTGTGTGTGTGTGTGCTTGTGTGTGTGTGTGTGTGTGTGTATGTGCGAGTGTAAAAATTTCATTAGGCCTAATCATAAGTAACTGGACGACATAGTGAAAAAACGAACAATATTGCATACCAGACTTCGGCCATATATAGTCCTAATTGCAATGTACAGAGTACATATTCTAAACGTAATTTATACGCTTGTAAAACTAATAAATAGGAGACACCAAGAAAGCATGGAACAGTCATGAAAACCGATAATATTACTGGCCAGCCTTGAAAGAAATTAAAAAGTTCATTACATTCATAATTCAATTAATAATTACAATTATATTACGATTAATTATAATGAAATGAAATGAGAAATGAAATTTGATCATTATATTTTTCACTCTATCACGCTATATATTAGATTCAGGTGATTTATTACATGATTAAAATTATTTACACTTTACTATCAACCGCTATACTTATAACAGATATTAAGTCTTATAATTCGAAATTTAGCTCACTTTATTAATACCCCGCATGCAATGGTATATTAAGTAGTATGCAGAAGTTGGTAACACCCAGAAGGACTTGGGAGGGATTCATCCTTTATTGTATCCATCAATATAGAGTCACTTTCTGATTCAATATAAGTTTACCTCTTTGCCCGTTCATCCGTCCGTCCGTCTTGTTTTCTTCTGTTCTGTAATGTATAGGTCGTACAACTTTCGGCACAAGGACTACCGCTATTGAAAACGATGGAACCCTTTTTCGAATTGACTCGTTTCCATGAGGCCGCTTAAGCCAAATTAATGCGAGCGGGCTCATTACCGGTTCCGAATGTTACACTTCAAGCGGGCGAACTCAGTCAGTGTCATTAAAAAATGATATTTGATTAATCGGTCTACGAAAGGTGAACATAACAACAATTTGCAATAATTTTTCTAGATTTTCAAGGGAAGTTATGACAAACGTCTTATGTCTATATGCTATCTTCAAAATTTACGGCATAGTTCACATGCTTTTATTGAAACGCACGACCCTTAGATATGCTGAGAATAAAAAATGTCTCGTTTGGAAGATGTTTTCCTCTCTCTAATTCGAAGGATGGCATTAGGAAATCTAAAGTTCAAGCAAGCATTGCGCAATCTAACATTAATTCCGCCAATAACACGAGGATTGTTAATTAAACTTCAAGCAGTGGAATGAAGGTTTAAAAGAAACTCGTTCGAAATGTATCTGAAGACAATCAGGGGAGTTTTGAGCGCAAAACCGCTTGATAACAAATTGTGAAACCCCCTCCAAAATGCGTTAAAAGTGTAGGGACAGACGTTCACCTCCGCGTCCGCCACACTTCCTCTATATTCCACAAATATTGCGTCTTTAGACTGTTACTTTTGTTGATAGGCGGCCCGGCAAGGCAAGATGGTCTCTAGCATTTTGATTCTTATGACGATACAAAACAAGTAAGGAAATTATATTCGGTCGTGACCGAATTTTTTATACCCATCACCGTTATCCTAAAGTAGACAAAAAAAGTAAAAGAACTAAATTTGGAGTAGGTGCGGCTGATTTTTTCTACCCTTTGAAAAGTCTGGGTCATCTCATTTTCGCTAACGGGAGAATGTTTATCACATATACCACAAAATCGGGGAGACGGACAGATAGACAGGCGAATAGACGGGCATGTTTAGATGCATTTTAAATTCGAAATTGGCCAAGAATTTATTTATAGTTAATTAGGGTTTTGCCACTTTTTTGTTTTTGTGCGTTATAAAGGTATTGACCGCAACATTAAGTTTTGATACACTATTATATTGGGTAAGCGCGGTCAATTTTTTTCATTCGTCAGCAGGTACTAGGCCCTCGCATTCAAATAATTAAACAATTATTAGGTGTAGGCAATGAGCAAAATATCTATATTTTATTCCTTTTGAGGTGTTCTCAATTTGCGTGTGTCTTTCGAGGGATTTAGCTTTTTTTCAATACCGACTTAGGTGCAAGAACTTTCAATGTTTCTGAAAAGTTTGACGTCGGTAGCTTCATTTTTGCGATCAGTAGAATGTTTACAATAGACATTAAGTAGGCGGGCAGGCAGGCGGACATGGTTAAATCGATTTAGAATTTTATACTGATCAAAAATATATACACTTTTTGGGGTCTCTGACGCTTGCTTCTGGGCGTTGCAAAGATTTTGACAAAACGAATATATCCCTTATCCTTCGGTAATGGACATAAAAATAGGTTTGGTGAGAGAGTTGCCTTGCTTTCACACCATCACTGTGTAACGAACTATTCGAAAAAAATCGGTATAATATAAAGCCCGTCTATCCAGGTTCCTGTTAGCGTGATAGACATCCGCACTGGCTAAATGTACTACACGCCAAATTGAGTGTAGGGTATAAAAATTTTCATTTATAACTACAACTATATACCTATGTCTTCGATTTCAGACATTCGCGGCTATTATACATAATTCGTATCCTGTTAACGTTCAATTTATTATTTAAGTGACATCATCTCATATGAAGATCATAAGATATAATTAAAAAATTTTCGAAAGAATATTGATTCTCATGATTATCTTGCTGTCTCATACAACAAACATATTAAAAACTTTCGCTGTCAGATCGTTTCAAAGCAAAGCGATCCTCTTAATTAGTACAAATAGACCGAACCGACTTTTTAACTAAGCTGATGGAACGATTTATAAATTCATCATTTTTAAAGTATTTCGCGATGTCATAAACACGAGGAGTTTGTTCACTTTGTCATAATGTTTGCAAAACTTCGAAGGAAACTTCAGAGACCCAATAAAATATATATATTTTTATTCAGTATCAGATTCTAAATCGCTTGAGGTATGTCCGTCTGTCCGCTTGTGTCCGTAATGTCTATTGTAAAGTTTCTCCTGGTCGAAGAAAGGCAGCTATCTGGTTCAAATTTAGCATAGACATTGGAATTTCTTGCCTGTTGACTGGTATTGGAATTGGGACAAGTCCGTCAAAGCATACGATTAGAGTACAACTTCGGTTTTCAAAAATAAAAAAAATTTTGTTTTTTGCTCGTTGCTTACAATTCATAACAGGGATAAAAAAAATTTTGTACACCGCCCCCACAAAAATCGTCCATGCCCACTCAGTATTGTGGAGTGTTAAAATTTCTTTCTCTTGCAAAAATGTTTACAGCATCCAGAAAGGAGCTTTAGAGACCCTATAAAGTGTACATAATAATGTTGATTAGTATCAAATCTGAAATGTTCTAGACACGTTTGTCCGTCCGTCTACCTATGTCTACCTACCCTGTTTTTTTAATTGCTCTGGGCAAAGTACTCATGGTCGTAAAAATGAAGATATCTGCTTCAGCCATACGATAAAAATTTCCACTTTTATTCAACAGAAATAAAATAAAAACCAGCCACACCCATCCTGTAAAGTCTGAAAATGTAGTTTTTCCTTTTTCCGAATCGTTTTTCAGTGTAAAAGTTGCGGCTGCAACTGAATATAATTTTTTTGATTTGTTCTTAAATCTGGTTAAAGCTTGAAAGCATTATGAACATATATCGTGGTGGCAACAATAATGCTAACAACAATAACAATAACAATAAATGTGTTTTTATTTCTCAAGTACATAATAAAGTGAAATTGATTACCTCGATCAGCTAATGAACCTTTACGACCCATTATAATGCGTACAGTTTCCAAGACGCATATGCCTACTAATACGATTGAATCCTTGGCCAGAGCACTGCCCGTATAAGTTAAATTGATCGCTTTTAATAAACCCATACTAAGCTCACAGCAAGCAAACATACCGAAATAAAATGAATTCAAATAGATTAACACTTCGTACGCTACACTGGGACTTGTCTTTTTTGGCACATGCACTGGTACACGTTTCGGCGGTGGCATCTTGTGGTTTTCTTCTTTTTTCCTTGCAAATCAAATTATCCTTTTCATCATCAATATTCGGGGAAACAATCACTTTCTTTCTTTTCTTTTCTTTTCTATTTTTTTTATATTTTTTTTAAAATAAAATCGAATTAATTCTACATTGTGATCGTTAGACAGTTTTCCCAATTTTCGCTACGTTAAAAATAGTTAGCATAGATAGCAAATACTTGATCTATGCTTTGCATTGGTTTGTGTGTGAGAGAGAGCAAAATAAAATTGTTTTCTTGCAACTTGGTTGTATTTTTAGACTGACTGAATGCAAAATTTTCGGCACAGTTCTGTGAGGTACTACTTAGTACTAATCAATGCTAAGATGTTTCAAATCGACATAACAATAATAATTTAAATTTATATTTGAAAATCTGATATGATAGAATTTTTTAATTTGTTTTAATTCGTTTCATCCGCCTGAGTGGCCGAGTAGGCAAGAATTTCGACTAACAACTCAATGGTCTTGGGTTCAAATCTCAAATGCGGCAGAGTTTTTAATTAAAGCTATTGGCGATCGTTGAAATTTCAACTGTAACCTCATGAACAAAGTGCTGCTTGAAGATTTTTTTGAATACTAAGTCATATTAATCTCTTGGAAAATAAACAAGCGGAGCCGGCGATGAAACCCGCAACTTTTAAATATGAACAACGCAATGGAAAAGCTTGACTTTGAAAAGTATATTAGGGAAGAAATTAAATAGAAAACTGGCGAACAAAATCGACACTACTTCTATCCACACTACTCGCATATTAATCATAAACTCGTTACACCTCTGTATCCGCTCAATGTCAGAAAAATCAAACTAAAAAAATTTGCAAGAATTCGACATAAGAATGGATCCTTAAGAAATCTACTCCCCAGTCTGCAATTGTGAACAAAATCTTACGGTAAACTTATCTGAATTCTGAATGCCAAAACCTTTCTAATATCGGTTTTCGAAGCATCTGATCCTATGGTCTTCTTGGAACTTCTTCTGAAGAAGTTAAGATTAATATCAAAAAAATATTTCACTTTCTTAAGCTGCTAAACTAACCATCTAACCCACCTTAAAAGAAATGGTATCAGTTGGTAAGGCTTATCCTACTTTTACTCCTACGATTTATTTCCTTAATCTAGATAATAATAGTAATCACAACAATAACAATAATAATATTTTAAGGGAAGAAAATATCAAATGATTCAAATGAATAACAATATAGATCGGAGGGGCAAGTGGCTTTAATGTATCTGACCACCCCAACCGATTCAATCGCATTCTGTTTATGTATCTGGTTAAGTTAGTGTTGTTTTAGAAAGAGAGAGAGAGAGAGAGAGAGAGAGAGAGAGAGAGAGAGAGAGAGA